TGAAGATTTGAATCTGTCGGTTCTTCCGTATCGAGAAGTCCTTCAGGACCCATGAGTATCTGCATGTACCACAGTAACGTTGTCCTGGCAGTCTGTCCAGTAGTTGTAGAGAAAGTGTTCCAGACCTTTCATTTGCCCCTAAGCGTGTTTGTTGTGTACTACCTGCTCGCAATCTGTTGAAGAGCACCCGTTCCAAACAAGTCATGCATCCGTGAAGTAGAAGTAAATCAGTTGACCAACCATCTGAGACCTGCTGCAGGTCTGATCTCACTGCATCACACCGTCTGATCTACCCACCGACCCCCTGCCTCCTAGCATCATATGGATCATCATATTTCTAAGACACAAATATGGTATGTTATGAATACGTATGATGCATGTAACCCCATACTGCTGCCCCCATACAGCTCGGACATCACACTGAGATGTCAGCAGAGGAAACACATGCGCTTTAGGCTCTGCTCCCTCAGGGACGTGCACGCCGAAAACAATCATGGCCGAACGCCTCAAAACACGTACGATGATGCTAACGTCTTGTTGAGGTTGTAGAAGCAATGAAGCATTAGATTTCTGATACAGAGCTGCTGCACCTTCTATGATCAAAGCGTACTGGATAGGTTTACTCTGCTGCGTATATAAAGAGCATCAGCTGCGGGGACAATGAAGGGATTTCTGTTACTCGTGCTGAATTGTGGTGAGAAGTGCATTCGCTGTAGGTGATATAACGTTTTGAAGGATTTCAAAATAAGGCACTTTGTTGGACCAACAGTAGCATACTGCCGGGACCTGAAATGATTTCCTCATATCGACTCAAGCCAATCTTGTTTCCATTATTCTTTTATTTATATTTTTATCATACATTTTATTGCAACATCTTCAATTTACAACACAGTACAGAAGACAATTCAGGTTGCACAACATTTTGGATTAATTCAATCCCATCCCTCTATCCTACATCCCACCCATCTACCCACCCACTCCATAGCCCCCCCCCCCCCACCCACTCCATAGCCCCCCCCCCCCCCCCCCTCCACCAACCACCGGGGCAACAATATCCCCTCAGGGATAGCATTCTTATTTGGTCAGGAGCTCCTTTACGTTAGATATCAGATCTGTCCACATTAAAATTGTATCAGGTTTTGCATCGTTGATTCTCGCAGAGGTAAGAAATGTTCAAAAAACTCTGAAGCCAGTGAGAACTTGAAATATCGTGAGGAGGTTTCCAACGTTTCCAGCTGCAGTCAAGCCTGTTAGCCAGATTTTGCGAGTTTTCCCCGTAAGAGACCATTATTCAAAGTTATGTCTGTCAAGAAATAGTCTGGCTTTTTATTACCTTAATTAAACGATATGTAACAAGGTAATTTAAACATTCCCACAGATGTATGAAATGTAATAGGCAAATGTATCATGTGGAGATGTACAAAAAAGCCAAACGGAGGTGAACCGTAAACCCAACGGGAAGTCAGCCATTTTGAATTTTACGTGCAATTTTATTTGTATACAGTAAAGCTAATTAGGGAGGATTTCATTTTGGATGGTTGGGGTCAAACAAAAACAGGAACTTCAACAAGCTGTTTGTGAAGCCAAAACTGAAATGTTGAATTATTTGAATAATAGAAATATAATGTTTACCACATGTTAAAGTCAACGGGCTACCCTACGTTTGAAAAATGACGCTAAAGGGGTTCTCAGTGTGTTAAAAAGTGACAAATATTTAGTTTGGGATGAGTTCCAGTGAGAATGTGGTTGTTTAAAACACATGTTGTCCTTTTGGATTGTTGAGTGTTTTTTCTTGTCTATGGCTTCCTGTCCCTCTCAATTTGTCAGTGTCTTGTGATTTGAGAAGCTTTCATTGTTAGTGATTGTTAAACCTACAATTTTCCATAATTTGTAATATCCAGGTGGCTCTGATGAGACTTACATCTGCGCGGAATGACGACAAAGTAAAATATCCGGTGTTCATGATTCATGCGAGAACATCGACTCTGTGTGAAAATGAACCTTTAATGATGTCAGGATGATGGATGTCATTCGCTTCAGTGTTACATTAGGCGAGACGAGGTGAAACGTTTGATTGGCCGGAGTCGTATTTCTCACACACATCATCACACACTTTTCTCACAGTCCCTTTAATGGCTGCAGGCTCTATAGCGCTCTGACACTCTGAATGCTAATTTGTCAGAAGATGGCAATGACTCTGATCCTCAAGTAGGATCTACTCTTAGCGCTTGTCTTGAACGAATGTGAATTCGCTGCAGCAGGACCTCAATATGACTTCCTTTTAGATTACACCCCATGGACAACACTAGTGCTGCGTCTCTATTGGCCTAATTCTCTGTTGATCTGTGATTGGTCCGCCGCTTAGAGATGTCCCGCCCATAAGCCTATCACGTACAATGTGTTGGAGCGCTAGCCAATAGAAGCGTGAGTGTTACATAGTGATGTTACTGGAGGTAATCAAGGGAGTCCAATGGAGGCGTTTAGAGGTGGTGCGAGAGAAAGCACAGGAAGCCCCAGATTGATTATCATAAGAGGAAATAGGAAGGGTATATTTCAAGTTTGTTACTATATACAGTAAGTTATTGGGCTTAGATTTGTTAGAACCTATTTTCAAATGTAATTGACTGAATGTATTGTAAAGTGGGCTTATTAACACATGAACACTACTGTGTAATATATGTTTACAGATATATTTAATAAGTACAATACAAGAAAAGCTCAAGTTTCATTTGTGGGCCGTATTCAATTGTACTTTTTGAATTTGCTGAGGGCCGATTCAAAATGTCCCGCAGGCCGCATTTGGCCCCCGGGCCGTAGTTTGGACACCCCTGGTTTAATAGCTAATGGACAACACTAGGGCTTTTTATCTTTAAGCTCAATGAGTACAGACACATTTCTGCCGTAGTTGATCACGTAGAGAATCATTGTACATGCTTTTACTATGAGAGTTAACCTATCGAGCCCACGGTCCTTTCTTGGAAAAGTGAGATTTAAACTGTCCTCTTCACGTTACTGAGAAGCAAACAACACCATTGAGTGAAAGTGAAACATCTGGTAATGAAGGGGTCTCCAAACAATGGTCTACTTTGTTATAGTTTATAGTTCTCTAACCATCACTAAGTGCTTATCGTGCCTCAGTTAGCCCCAACCTGAAGGTAACAGTCATGTGTTAACATTGTGTTGTTCTGCTGACAGGAAGCTCAGATATTGATCTATTTGGGAGGCAATAGAGCGGAGCAGGGATGACGTATTTACCCGGAAGTCAGCGGCTGGTTCCCTCGACAAAAAGCAACAGGATTTCTCCACAGGATTTAGGAAAAGAGCTGGAAATAAGGTCTGTGGAAAACGAACCTGTTTGATAAATGGACGTTTTGTTCAGCCGGATAATCTCCACATGTCTTCCCTACTTTTATAATGTTCGAATCATAAATCTAATCGAAGCTAAATGCTAACGTTATGCTATAAAGGAACTACAGCGAGTCCAGCAGCACGACTTCAACGTCACGCCGACTTCAGATCCATATTCAAACACACAGATTCTAGATGGAACGAGTTGAAGCGTTTGTTTGAACACTCTGCAGGAGGCAGGGACTTGCTCTCAAGCAGAACAGAAACTAACTTAGAGGAGTGTTCACGTGTTCGGCGTAATGACGTACAACGGCCTCCACGACTTCTGTAGTCCTATTCAGCCACTTGGTAACAACCATCGTTTCTCAGACACGTCCACTCTTCAGAAATCACCAGTGGGGTCACTGCTGATGATTTAATGTAGAACAAAACGTGACCCGTCTCTTCGATGTGTCTCAACCGTCTCAACCACAGACCTTAGTTCCAGCTATCCCATTGGCTCTGAGACGAGGGGAACAGGAAGTGGTGACATGCTGACTCACTTCCTGGTTTAGGACTCGTCACTGCACCACTCTGACACATGACCTACTGTATGTTTCCCAATAAAGGTTGGAGGATACATTTGTGGTTTTCTTGAGATTGGTAATCCCCCAACATTGAGATACGTGTTTTGTTGCTGTTGTGTTCAAGGACTCAGTTGCCTTTTCTATAGTCAGATAATTAAACTTAGACGTCAAACAATAACCAACCATCGTCCTCCGTGAGACAATAATATGAATCTGGTCTTTTCTTCTAATACAAAGGTGGTTTTTCAGTCAAAGATGATGGAGCACCCTTTATTGTACCAAGCCAAGCAATAATTACAACCTCTGATTAAATACATAACCTCAGTGTCATACAAGCGAAAAACTGATTGCTATTTTGCACCAAACGGTAAATCCAAGTCTTTTTACACTAAACGATTTGTTATTTCCAACAACAGAAGATTATGACCTTTGTATTGGTATATAGCCGTCAGCACAGTCCTTTTTAAAGATGAATACAAATGTTGTTGAGTTTATTATTTATTGTCATTTTGAGAGAATGGCCGAGAAGTGTTGAGGTGGTAAATTCAAACCTGGGGAGACTCTTGTAAACCAAATCATCTTTTGTCATTCAATACATGTACAACATTGTTAATTAAAGTGTTTACATTCTGTCATGTTTGAGGACATACAGCTCCTCAATGAGGGCCCAGATTATACGAACATGATTGTTTTCTCATCATTCACTTTCCAATGATTAATGTGATTAGATTAATATGTTATTATAATTGATTTATTTGAGTGTATTTGTCCGGATGTGTAGCATCTAAGCTGTGTTTCCCATGCTTTCTTCATCTGGTTTGTGTATTCATTCACAGCCCTTCCTTTTTCCATGCTCATAAATTACATTTTAATAATACCGTGTGCATAATTACACGCTTTGTCCCCACTGACATGGAGAGAATGAGAGATGCATGACTTGTCCGACAGCGAGCGTTTGCTCTTCCCTTTCTTCCCGTGCCTTGATTTGATTTTAATGAATGTTTTTCTTTCTCATTTTGTAACGTGAATGAAATCAAGAGGGGGGACAAGCAGGTTCATTTTATGTGCATGTGCTTCCCCCCCTAGACTCTGGCTGCCCTAACGAGAAATTCGATAAATCTGCTTCCAAACCATCTCGCACAAGCTTTGCATGTCCACTCGGGTCCTGAGGAAATTAACAAGCGAATAGAGAACGCCATCGACTTACGGAGTGGCGATAAGTTGAGAAGAGAGCATATCAAGCCTTTCTCACTGATGTTTAAAGACTGCAGCCTGGAAGAGAAGGTAGCTGGGGTTTTAGACGGATTCCTGTTTTTATTTCTCTCTCCCTCCTCATATCTATTCCTAGACGGAGATATTCAGGAGCTAAACAAGATCCAATATTGCTCTTTTTCCTATCATGAGTAAGCTAAAGGCACTTGAGATACAAATAGTCCCAGTCAGTTTTTTCCTCCATTTGGTCAAGAAGAGTATGGAGTCTGAAGAGTGCCATTACAAATAATAAACAGTTTTTAATTATAGCTAGTAAATAACTTGATGCATGCATACAAAAGACCATTTTAAATTCAATTTAAAAGAAAGGCAGATTAATATAATGATGCTCGATTTGACATTTATTTATAACGATTTATAAACTCTTCCAATAAAAAAACGATCTATTAAACAAGTTTATTTTATTTATTTATTTGTATTTGTTACGTAATCAGTTTATTGAAGGAATATTTTTTAAAGATTTTACTTTTCAAAGCTTACGAACTGCATCGCACGGTCTTTCAAATCTCATGGAGTCTCCATCCATTAAAATGGTCCTCCTGAGGAAGAAAGAGGTGCATTTGCAACCTCTTAAAAAGGACATGACTTGACTTTATCTTTAATATTTTAATGCATGCTTCTTAGTTAACATTAAGCTGCCTTTGGCTCTTTGCTTGCTGTAACAAAAGCAAATGTCCCCTCTGTGCGACGAGTAAAGGTGTTCTGATTCAAGAATACATGTCATTGTATTGTACATCTTAATTGGTTGTCGAGGTATAATGAATGATGTAGTCGTTCCACTTCAGGCTTCATACTCGTGTTCAAGAATTAAAACAACCAAACTAAAGAAGAACGTCTTATAAGTTATTAACATGGTTATACTCTATGGTTCAATTGGGAAATTCTGTTTCGACCAGCATGGAGCAGTCAGCTTGGCGAAACATGGAATATTCGCAACGCTGATTAGTTTTTCCAAGATTGAAGAACGTCCTTCAGTTTACTCATGACCAAACGTCCATGGACCTGTTACCCTTTAACAAGCTTCACTACTTTTTTCTTTGACAGAAAATCATTGCATTCACAAAAGAAAATAAGATTTCTGTATTGTACTTGCTACGAGACATCATTACTAGAATACTGCTCCTATTTCCTATAGTATTACTTCAAAATCTAGAGTATTAATGAACTATTACTCATCAATCATACCCTAGTTTTAAATAGACAATATTTTCCTTCACATATAATCAAGATGAACTGCCTTAGCACATAGCTGAAAGGTCAACCAATACCAACAAACCCAAATAACCTTATTTCAGATTCTACTTACAAAGATACCTAAAATATCAGGTGACATTTATGGTGAAAAAAAAAAATAGGACAAAACAACGAAAGTATTTCCATTTAGTTAATTTAGTCTGACTAGATATTTAGATAATCTTCAATGGCAAACGACAACAAGCTGTTCAATAATGTGGAATACAATATTGTCAGAATGGGGAACTTTGGGGATTTCAAATTCTCTAAAGATACATACAATATCAGGCAAATATTTAAAAATAGGACACATTTTTAAAAATAGGGCAAATGTTTCAAAAATGGGGCAAAACAATGAGAACATTTCCATTTAGTCCATATAGTCCAGAGTTTGACAAAACATGGAGATAATCTTCAATGAAAAGCTATAACAACCTGTTAAATACTGTGATATAGAAAATATATAATAGTGTCACTATAGTTAACAAGATAAAGTAACTTGAGGGGTGGTGGTGGCGAAGTCCATAGGGACTTGGCTTGATAACTGGAAGGTCACCAGTTCAAGTTCCGGCAAGACCAAGTGCTACCGAGGTGTCCCTGAGCCAGGCACCGTTCCCTACACTGCTCCCCGGGCGCCGTTCAAAATGGCAGCACACTGCTCCTAACACTAGGTTGGGTCAAATGCAGAGAAACAATTTCCCCACGAGGATTAATAAAGTATATCAAATCAAATGATGGGAAATCAAAGGATCTAGTTTTAGACCTTTACTTGCTTTGATTCCTCTGTGGTTTGAAGGCAAGGAAAAACACACACTGTAATTGTGTTAATTTACAGCTGAAATGTTGGCTGTCAACAGTTGATAACATGTTAAATTGGAAAAGTTGTTTCCATAGGAAGACATTTCTAAATGGAAATGTTAAATGTACTCATGTATGTGGAAGTCATAGTGACAGGAAAATGGGTCAGAAGGTATTTTTCTTTGGTGAATGCAATGCACTTCCCTAGATTGTAATCCCCTTTCCTCCCATTTTTGAAAGCTCACCTTTGCCTTTGAGTTTATTTCTTTGCTTCCCTTTGAATCCCAAGCCATGTTTAAAACCTTTCTAAGAACGTTTCTTTCTTTTTTTTTGGTTGACCTCTTCAGTAAGTGTGCATTTGTACTTTTTATTTCTGCCAAAGTTGAAGCATCCTCTTGATAATTTCCCAGCATCCGTTGAGAAAGAGACAGAGCGAGGACGGGGCAGCGAGGACGGGGCAGCGAGGGGGTTTAAAATTGAGGAAAAAAAAGTGACAAAAGATGACATGTCCGAAAAAGAAAAAGGGAAAAAAAGACATTAGAAAATATTGAAGAAAAAGACAGTAGAACAAATTAATAAAGACGACAGTCAACTAAACTATTAAGAAACGGACCGACATGTCGAAAAAAGTTAAGAAAAAGACAGTAGAAAAAATTGAAAGAACGACAGTCGAGAAAAATGAAAACAATGACAGTCAAAAATAGTGACCAAAAAAACAGACCAAAAAAGTGAAAAATATGACATGTCACAAAGAGTGACACAAAAGAAAGTCGACACAAAGTGAAAAAGATTACGTCTAATAAAATGTTCCAAAAAATTCCAAGTCGGACCTCTAAGAAACCGACATGTGGAAAAAAAGTGAACAAAATGAAAAGTCCGGAACTGTTGATAAAGTGAAAAAAAGACAGTAGAAAATATTGAAGAAAAAGACAGTACACACAATTAATAAAAACTTCATTCAAAAAAATTACAAAAAAAGACGGAAAAAGATTAAAAAAAGACAGTAGAAAAAGTGAAAGAACGACAGTCGAGAAAAATGAAAACAATGTCCAAAAAAACCGACCAAAGAAGTGAAAGTCCAAAAAAGTGAGTCCTATTTTTGGTCCAGACTGGTGACTCATTAATCTAGAGAGTCTTGCAGAACATCAGTGCTGCTGCCTACATTACAACAGATGGTTTGATTTATCTCAATATATCCAATTACTTCGTTCAAGTACATATTCTCCTCCAGCTAATTTACTAAAACGTTAAACCATTTCTTCAACATCTGGCCAGGGACATCTAATCCTTTCCAATGTTCCCTTTGGGCGAACTCTGGTTTGTTTTGCATGATACCAACAAAACCTTCACAAAGCATCAATGCAATTGGTAGAAGTACAACGCTATTGCTAACGCTATAAACAATCACGTCAATGTCGCCGCAATTTAGGAAATCCACCCTATTGCGAGGAAGTAAAAGGCAGGAAGTAAAGGCAGACCAGTCTCACTGTGTTAGCAACCCCCTTTTTTTGGACATGTAAAAGCTTCAAAATGCACAAAAGAAGGTAAATCCCACATCTCTAAAGCTTTAATGACCAAAGACTTCTAACCAAAAACCAATTGACTTGGAGATAAGGGAACAGGAAGTGTTAAAAATATCGTATCCCGGTTTCAATACTCGTACAGCACTCTAGTTCTGCTATTTTAAGGTAAACCAATGTAGTAGTGTAGGAAAAGTATCAAGTGTTAAAAACCTCAACCTTACAGCCGCAGAGTTGCTCGGGCTCTAAACCTTGTATAAAGTCTTTATCTAACATTTCAAAAATCCAGTAAATTCTCATTTGGTTAAACTTTTAAACGGTCTTCAAACTGACTCAGCTAACGGCTAACAGCTAACGGCTAACAGCTAGCATTGTGCTCGTCAGCTTTGCACCTTCCCCAGGACCCTCAGCCTGCCCCCCTCCCCCGGCTCCTGTCTCTCTCTAACGCTTGTTGTAGAACCATTAAAGCGTCTGTTTGGTGTGATTGAGGAGCATCTCAGTGTCTTCTGTTTGTCTGAAAACATGTTTCTCCATCTTCTCCTCATCTCCTTTTTCCCCTCCTTTTCTATCTGTTCTTTTTCTCCTTCTCACGGCGCAGTATTCCCAGATGAGAGACGAGGTGTTCAAGTCCAACCTGGTGTGCGCCTTCATCGTTCTCATCTTCATCACCACCATCCAAGGCCTGCTTCCCTCCGCCAGGTAATAAAGATTTTTTTATTTTATTTTGCATTTTAACGCATACATAACAAAATAAACACATCTAGGTACTAGTGTTGCACGGTGTACCGATACTTGAAAGGTACCGCGATACCCTGCCGTTAAAAACGTTACTATTCCTCCGTTTCATTAGTATCGGTACTTTAAGAATGACGGGGGAAAGTACTCCGGTGAGAAAGCGGCGTTTTACTAAGAGCCGTGTGTGTTCAGCGCTCTGCTTCTAAGTCCCTCCCCTCTCAAGCACGCTCTAAGTGCCTCCCCTCTCAAGCACGCTCTAAGTCCCGCCCCTCTCAAGCACGCTCTAAGTCCCTCCCCTCTCAAGCACGCTCTAAGTCCCTCCCCTCTCAAGCATGCTCTAAGTCCCGCCCCTCTCAAGCACGCTCTAAGTCCCTCCCCTCTCAAGCACGCTCTAAGTCCCTCCCCTCTCGTGCACGCTCTAAGTGCCTCCCCTCTCTCGTGCACGCTCTAGCTGCCAGAGCATGTGAGAAAGCGAGAAGCATGGCTGCAAGTGGGAGTACAACTGCCGCTGCGCCTCGGCTTGTTGACACAAAAGACGCCAGAAGCGAAATTTGGAAGTATATTAGCTATATCTCTGACAGTGAGGGCAAGCCTACGGACACCACGAGGCCTGTCTGTCAGACATGTATTCATTTTATTTAATACGAATTCTTGCCATTTTTTTATTTATTGTTCTCATTGTTTAAAAGGTTGTGTTCTGGTTCTGGTTCTGGTGTGAAATAAAGCACAATAATTACATTTAAGACTGAAAAGTATCGAAAAATAATCGGAATCGCAATTCTTGACTTGGTATCGAAACCAAAATGTTGGTATCGTGACAACACTACTAGGTACATAGATTACCTACATAACAGTTGACAAATCCGAAATGAAATTATAATAGTAATGATAAAAATAAAAGCATGGATACGTTATGAATACTCAGGTAACAGAGACTTTCTGTAAACATGATTGAAAATTCAGATTTGTGATTGTCTTTGCTGTTTTGTCTTGTTTTTTCATATTTTTGGCTACTACCATGGCCTGGTACTATTGAGGCAAGAACTGATGTACCAGGTTTACAAATGGACACGGATAAGTAACACGGAAGTATTAGATATAAGATATTTTCACACATTTAGCAAAGAACCAAAGTCTCACCCGCCTCCAGGTTAGCTTCTGTTCTCAGAGAGACTTTCTTTGAACCGTCCAAGTCAAGAGCATTTGAAGGAACAGGACAAATAGCCTTCTGTAATTCGAGCTGGATAAAACAAGCTATGTTTACTGTTAAGTACAGATTACATTTGTATTGTATGCATTAGCTGCACAAAATACACACTGACCATGTACAGTATATGCTGTGTTTTTTTGTATAAATGTATATAGTATAGTATAGTATTAGTTTATTAGTCCCCGAGGGGAAAATGGGTTGCAGCAAATCACAGAGGCATTTAAAAAGTTAAGACAATACATCACTGACAACAACATAGACACAGATAAAAACAAACAGACATAAGAAAACCAGATATCGGCAGACATGACGAGGCGCCTATAGGCCCTCATTTGCGAAATAGGGGGGACAGGGCCAGACCAGCTGGGTAAACAGTGCGTCCTAGCCATCATTTATTCAGGAGTTTGATGGCTTGTGGGACGAAAGACAACCTAGATCTGTTCTTTTTTAAATAAGGGGCACGATATCTCCGCCCAGATGGCAACAGTTCAAAGTAAGAGGCAAGAGGGTGCCTCAGGTCACTCACAATATTGTGTGCCAATTTTAAAACTGTGCTTATATAAGCATTCTATATTAGCGAATTAGATTCCTGTCAATTTACTGGACAAAGTTACGGCCCTCCTGACTGACTTATATGTTCATGTTCTTGTCCCCATATATATTTGAATTGTTGTCATAATGTTAAGGAAGGTTAAGTGCAAAGTTTTAGCTCCAGTTAAATGTTTTTTTTATGACAAAGACACAACTTTGCTTTAGCTTAGCGCCAAGAGTGATGCAACTATCACAATGTAATATAGTTACAATGTTGTTTTGATTCAAGTGGATACCCATTATCATTTGAGTGTGGAAAGAAAACCCTGGGAACATGTTTCTATATTTCCCCACAACTTTGAGAAAAGTTAGAATTAATGGAACAGAATACTGTGTATTATATTGTATATTGTTATTTTTAGATGTGATTTTAATTATAGGGTATCCAATTACACAATGAAAATAAAAAAATGAAATGTTGAGTTTCCTAACCCAATGGTTTTGGTTGTGTCGTCTCCTTCAATGTTAAACGCCTCAGCCGACAGCTGATGGTACTTCTGTTATTTTGCCATTTGTTGTGTTTCTGCAGGATGGTAACCATGGTGGTCCAGTTCTCAATCCTCATCGTCCTGCATTCCTGTCTGGTCCTAGTAACCACGGCGGAGGACTACAAGTGTCTGCCTCTGGTTCTGAGAAAAGCCTGCTGCTGGATCAACGAGACGTACGCCGCCAGAAACGTCATCATCTTCATCTCCATCCTCATCAACTTCCTGGCTGCCATGATCAATATAGTGAGTTCAACTTCCAGATTATCGTTAATTAGGGGGTTATATTTGTGGTCTGTGTTCTTGCCGATAGCAGCAAGGAAGCATTTAAGTCAGAGAAGCGGGTTGGGCTTTTCTGACCTCAGTTTTCTGGTTTCAAATAGCTCCATCTGATTTATGTTCTCACTTTGCACAGAAAGTTGTCCTTCTGAGACCTTGATGAAATCAAAGAGGACACCATCAAGACAAAAGTCGACAAAGAGAACCAACATTGTCCAAAGATGTGTAAAAACAGGTGTCAAATATCTAGCTTTTGTTGATTAAAACCTCAGCTACTTCTATAAACAGCTAGTCATTGTATACTTTATCAACGTGTACAAAAACAATTGTAAATAGTGTTTTTTGGGGGAATATTTTAAGCCTCAGATTGTTACACATGTGTTTATCCTACTCGTTGTTTAAGCTAAATCAGAAAGTTAAAGGTGACCTATCATGGAAAATGTACTTCTGTACGTCTTTTATACATGAATATGTGTCCCCGGTGTTCAAGGGAACTCACCAAGTGTCAGAACACGCAACCCTCTCTCTTTTCCTCCGTACCCAACTCTCTAAAAACGGGCTGCAACGGATCTGATACAGACTGATCCAGATTTGAATGTTTCTGACGTCAGAAAAGGGGTGCTCCGTCTGTATGGGCAACTCTCCAGCTATCAGGGGAATGAGAGACCGCTGGAAAGCGCTGGAGACGCTGTAGTACATATGCCAGGCCTGTAAGTGGCGCTGTAGTCTGCCACAAAAGCAGAATCAGCCCTTGCAAAAACAGGGCTGGAAAAGAGCAAATAGAGAGAAATGAAGCATGGCTAAAATGCATGATCTGTTTGGTATTTTGAAAAAACTTCACAGACATGTTTTATATAGGTATGGCCCTACAATATATGTTTCAAATATAGCATGATAGGTCCACTTTAAGAAAAGTGGTTTGGTTAATGTGGAGGAGATGTGTTTCATCCATCAATCCAGTAAAACCAGTAAATGTCATGTTTGGATTCTCAAAATATGAGTATTGTAAAAAAAAAATGTGAAAGCATTAAATGACAGATTCTTTCATAACTTGGAATTTAATTAACTGAAAACCCTTTTGTATTATTGGCGCGTATTCGTCCTCATCGACCCCTTTTTAGCCGGCGCCTATCTTCTGCAAGGCGGCCTCTGAAAGACAGGGACTCGCAAGTCATTACTTAAATGAAGCACATTAACAAGCTGATAATAAGCTTTTGGTGTTTCAAGGTATCTGATCGCATAAAGCAGAGTGTATTAAACAACCCCGAGGTCTGGACTGGTGAGAAGAGGATTGCTAGTCAAAGAAAGGTCCATCGATCCCAAAGAAACAGAACCTTGGAGAGGTTTGTTTGTGTAAATGAAATCTAACTCGAGATATACAAATTGAGAGTAGTTTGGTGCTTGTTGATGTTCAGCATCTGTTCGTGCTTTGAGTTTCAATCAGGGAAATCATACAGACGTTAATCTTGCTTTCGTTGTAACACGCAGATATTGTAGGAAAGCAAATAAAACATGTTGACAGAAAACTCAACATTATAACAAAATCTAAGTGCTTGGATACTTTTTTCATTGCTTTTTGGGGACAAAGACTTCAATTAAATAGAGTAGGCTTTAGTGTTTAGACCCTAACTGAGACTAAACATCACGATATCTCTGCCTGTACTGCTTGGGCGGCAGCAGCTCAGTCTGGGAAAGGGTCGCCAATTCAAGTCCCATTTGGTGCAAATTGGATGCTGAGTTTTTGCTAATGCTAAGCATGGGACCTTTATCTTTATCTTAAAGGCACATTTTAATCATCTTCCTGAATCACTTCCTGTGTTGCATACACCTGACAGCATCAGTAACACATCACCTGTTTATCATTATGAATATTGCAGCTTTCATGCAGAGAGCGGACTCCCGTTTACTCACAAAGGGTTGTGCATTTTGAACAAACCCATAGAACTATTGGCCTTGAAACTAAAGATTGAGTCCATAAACTCAGTCAGAACATGTTTACTGAGGTAATATACGCAGTGAGAAGTGGGGTCATTTTTTCATAGACTTCTAGACAGTCTGACTTTATGCAACTGGACAAATTGCCCGCTGCTGGACTCCCGTTCACTCACAAACAGTCACATATCTATGACACAAACCCGTTGATTGGCTTGATGAAAGAAATGCATGGGTGTATGAGAAAAGAGCCTGATCCTGCCTGGGTTTAAGGCAACAACAATAATCCCCCTGTTGGTCTCTCACAGCTGTGGTGCGACTTCGACAAGTCGGGCAGCGGCTTCAGGAACCAGACGTTCAACGAGTCGACCTCCATCCCAGACATCTGCTTCTACCCAGAGGTACCGACTAAATGAGGTGTCTGAATTTGCAGTCACGTCCATCTGTTGTGGGTTTTTTCTTCCACTTCTCCGAAAGTGGCAGAAATGATGAATTAAACATCCTCGACATCTGCTCGTGCCCAGAGGGAGGTCTCGCCTCAGACAGCGGCGACTGATGGAGCCGTCAGAACGTCACGGAGCAAACATCCATTACGTTATTTTGCTGAGAAAATATGCAGCTGATTGATGGGCTCAATCAGGGAGTAACATGTTTCATAGCTGCAAGCGTTGGGTCACCTTGCAAGTGTATGCCACAACCTAATTTCCTACCCGGGGTCTTGTGCGTTGGTGTGGGTAAAAATGTTTCATTAATGATTTCAGGTAGGACCGTAGACTTTATATGTAGGGGTAGGACACATCACAACTTGAATATTATACACAGAACTATAGACATATCCGAATCAGAGGCTCTTGGTTCATTGGATTGTCAGATATCCATTGGACGTGTTGCCATGACCCTTTTTTTAAGCGCATTTTATGTTTTAAAATTAGAAAAGCTTTATGGAAAAGGCACATTTGTGGTTTCTATCTTGGACCTAAAGAATTTCCCAAAATGGGATTTATAAAGTGTGACAGACACTTTATAATTTGGGAAATTATTTAGGTCTATCTGTCTATCTGTATATCTACCTATCTATCTATCTATCCATATATATATCTATCTACCTATCTATCTATCTATCCATCTATCTATCTGTATATCTACCTATCTATCTATCTATCTATCTATCCATCTATCCATATGTATATCTATCTACCTATCTATCTGTCTATCTATCTATCCATCTATCTATCTGTATATCTATCTATCTATCCATCTATCCATCTATCTATCTATCCATCTATCTATCTGTATATCTACCTATCTATCTATCTATCTATCCATCTATGTATCTGTATATCTATCTATCCATCTATCTAGCTGTATATCTATCTATCTATCTATCCATCTATCTATCTGTATATCTACCTATCTATCTATCTATCTATCCATCTATGTATCTGTATATCTATCTATCCATCTATCTAGCTGTATATCTATCTATCTATCTATCCATCTATCTATCTGTCTATCTGTCTATCCATCTATCTATCCATCTATCTGTCTATCTATCCATCTATCTACCTATCTATCTGTATATCTATCTATCCATCTATCTATCTATCTATCTACCTATCTATCTGTATATCTATCTATCTGTATATCTATCTATCCATCTATCCATCCATCTATCAATCCATCTATCTATCCGTCTATCTGTCTATCCATCTATCTATCCATCTATCTGTCTATTTATCTATCTATCTATCTATCCATCTATCCATCTATCCATCTATCCATCTATCCATCTATCCATCTATCTATCCATCTATCTGTCTATTTATCTATCTATCTGTCTATCTATCCATCTATCCATCTATCTATCTATCCATCCATCTATCTATCTATCTAATGACCTAAATATATCTTCCTCTTTTTTCTCAGTACTTTGTGTTCACGGGGGTCCTGGCGATGGTGACGTGTGCCGTGTTCTTGCGGCTGAACTCGGTGTTGAAGTTGGCGGTTCTGCTGGTGATGATCGGCGTCTACTCCCTGCTGACCGAAGCCTTCTACACCTCGCTGTTCCTCCGCTACGACACCGTCCACAAGAACACAGAGTGAGTGCTCTATATTGAAAATGTCCCACAATCACATATGAGAGTAACTTGTCTCTTGTTTGGCATTTTGATTGTCTTCATCTTGGTTTTTCAGACCCAAGGGTGGAGTTGGGGAGGAGTGGGTAGACCACATTTAGCAGCTAACCAGCTAGCACCAGCTATGTTGACTAAGATATACATTGGGATGCTAAGTTTAGCTAGTAGAAAAAGGTAGTTTGTAAAGCCTAAAAACATAATCTTTCTCTCTTAGTATATCGTTTTGCTAAACACATCAAGCTGTTTTGATGAAGACTTGAACCAAAGATTGAGACAAAGTTGTTCTCGTAACTAGTGAAGATGCCCCCTGATTTTGGGTGTTTTCTTGCAAAATATATCTGTCAGTCATCCAATACAATCTTGTTATATAGTCACATATATTACATAACCTTTACTTTACTAATTTACTGACTCTGAATCTGTTCTTTGGACACTTGGGTCATGTTCTGGTGGGCACAATGGTGCACATGCTGAAGTCCAACAAGACGAAACTTTAGACATTAATATATTAAAAGAATACTAGAGCCTTCATTAGGCTTAGTGGTACATTTTTCATTTGAACCATCACAGTACATCTCTCCCCCGGTCGACTTTCTCTTTATAAAAAGTAACTCAAGAACTTTCATGTACGGTTAATGATCTGATTAGACATGTTTAATGGTATCTTCAGTGAAACAAACTTTTATAACACTTGCAAAGTTCATATTAACATAGCAAAGGTGTTAAAGTAAAGACAGGAACATTCTTTTCTCTCCGTGTGTTTCCTCTTCAGAATCCCATCAGGGAGCGACGTTGACCTTTTCCTCTGCACTTAAGTGTTGCAAATGTGAGAAAACTCATATGGCATGTGTTCTCCGTGATAGTGCCTCGACCTTTACGGTGACGACGTAGGAATAGATCCAGAGCAGATAACCTGTTGAGGGAAAGGTTTCCATACGAGCTCCTTGTTTATTTCTTTAGGGCCCTCCGAGGTAGGATAGAAAAGGTCATAAGAGAGGAACAAAGATATCGTATGAACGGCAAAACGTTTCAGTTTCAAGTCAAGTAGTTTTTGTGTATTTATATGAAAATTCTCAGAAACGTAAATTTGAATTAATTAGAGTTTATTTCATTGACAATTAATATGTAAATACCAGTAATGGCATTCAGGATTTAAAGAGTCAAAGGGTTTAATGTCATAAGCTACAGTGTAGAAATGGCAATGAAAATCTTATGACCTGAGCTCCTCCAACAATGCACCATATTTATCAAATAAAATACAAATAAAAAACATTGCAAGAAGTCTATATACATGTAAAAACCAGTGGTGAACCGTCAGGGTCTTCAAGGTATTCAGAGAACACCCTGGAACGCTCAGATAAAACAAACAAAACATCGATTTAATTATATAAATAAAATGTAATAAAATGAATAAATGAGGTATCTGTGTTGTTGATCTGTAATCACAGTGTTACGTTGATGTGTTTCTCCTTCTCGGACCATGCTCTACGCCTTTCAGTGGTTTTGTGTTAGAAAGCAACCAATCAGATCTTGTTCTGGGTCTCTGGGTAGAATATCCTTCAACAAGGTATTCTACATCCTTGATCGAAGGCCCTGGCCGTTGCACTGAATGAGAGCGTACGTTCGGACTGACAGTTTGATCAACCAATCATATATTGATTTGAAGCCAATGGGCGTGTTCTTTCAGAGTTCCCCTCGGTTCCAGGGTGCTCTAGAACAGTGGTTCTCAAATGGGGGTACGCGGACCCCTAGGGGTACCTTGGAGTACTGCAGGGGGTACGTGAGATTTATTTTATGTTAATGAAAAAAAAAAAAGTAAGAAAGTATGAGCAGTGTGGGTTTTATATTAACAGAGTTTCACATATTTAAAAACACGAAGTGTAATAACTGCAGTTGCCTCCCTGACAGCATGATAAAGATCCTCAGTGAAGCTCAAGCCCATGTTTCACTACATGTACAACTTATTAAAAAAGATCAGGTCAATGCAGCTAATGTCGTCTCTGTGGTATTGCATGATGTTAAAATTGGTTTGCCATGAATTTAGTGATGGATTGTAAACATTTGAAATGTAGCATTTAAGTGTTTCTCAGTTACAAGGTTGTTGTTTTAATAAATCAGACACCGATGGTGCAGCGCTGTACTGTACCTCTTTAAATAGCCATTTATTCCCTAACAAATTGTGTTTGCGCTGATCAGGGGGTACTTGGCTGAATTTTGTTTTCAAAGGGGGAACATTATTGAAAATAGTTTGAGAAACTCTGGAAGGCCCGCTAGTTAACTGGCTCGAGACAGAGGATCTCGATGAATGCGACGAAGCAATTCATGCCGTTTTATTGTTTTTAACGTTGAAATGACAAGAGCAGCAGGTGAAGATGAAGTTGTTGCGGAATTGTTGTGAGTACCATTTTCAAGACGACAATTCAGTGAAAAGACGGACATTATAATGATGGCGATGGCGGCTGGGGGTGGGTGTGTCTACAAAAGGTCCAGTTGTGATAGACACGGTTCGCCACTGGTAAATAGAATATGATACAAGACATATTCTAAAGCATTGTTTCGGGTAACGAACATCTATTTGAGTTATGCAGATCACGTGAACATATAGTTATTCACTCACAGACCAGAATATCATATTCATGTTGCAGAATGAGTGTAAGAGGTTTTCCTATCAGCACAATCAGCTGTTAGTCCGTCTGTCTTCAAACTGCGCACCACAGAAGCCTGTGATTCGTCAACAGGCACATATCATGAATCCCAGGGTGCATCAAGATCAATTATTGTAATGCATTATTAAGTATTTTTAAGTTTTTGGCAGTCTGAAATGTTTCTTGTCTTTGTTCAATCTGAGCTGAAAACCATGTGGTTTTTTCTCCGTTGGACCCCTGCTGTGCAAAACCAAACTGAGCAGACTCATTCGACTACTAGAGCAGTCTGTGTTATCTTTAAAAACAAACATTGATGTTGCCCCTGTTGATTTGATAAATAGGAGGCAGAGTTTAGCTGGCACGTTATAATAAAGGTTGTATTATCACGCTTAATCCATTGTTTGTTAAACATTAGGGAAAAGCAGTGCAATGAAATACTTAAAAATATGATGTCTTGTGTTGTCACATGGAGAGCCGCAGTGAAACAAACAAAAGAGGACTTTGTACTTGTTATTCCTCAACATAACACAATAACTGAATAAACTCTTCTTCTCTCATTGTGTTCTGACAGGAACTTCCTGGGGACCAAAGAGACGTCTCTGCTCCTGATGGCCATGTTCCTCCTGGCTGTGTTTTACCACGGACAGCAGGTAACACCACTTTCTTCATAACACAATGTTTTATTTATTACCTGAGCATAACCAGACTTTAATCATAGATGTGTTGGATCAGAAAATCCCTGCAGCTCTTTCTCAGGAAGCTCTGAAGGAATATATTTTAATGGGGTCTTAAAATACAGAGATTTTTGTCTTTGCAGAGACATTTGTTTATCTTCTATCTCGAGAGTTTCAGAAAACCTCAGGTGACAATAACAGCTTCCGTACTGACAGTATTCAAACAAAAATCAAATTTCAATTGTAGTCGGACTGGAGGTCAACATCTCAGAAACAGATTTCTGAGAGTACCTGTAACAAAAACGAAAACGTTTCTCAGTGGAGATACATGACTTCACGTCACCACCGCTAAGCTAAAGGTGGCTAATGTTGGGCTATAAAGGAACTACAGCACGGTCACATGACTTCACGTCACCACCGCTAAGCTAAAGGTGGCTAATGTTGTGCTATAAAGGAACTACAGCACGGTCACATGACTTCACGTCACCACCGCTAAGCTAAAGGTGGCTAATGTTGAGCTATAAAGGAACTACAGCACAGTCACATGACTTCACGTCACCACCGCTAAGCTAAAGGAGGCTAATGTTGGGCTATAAAGGAACTACAGCACGGTCACATGACTTCACGTCACCACCGCTAAGCTAAAGGTGGCTAATGTTGGGCTATAAAGGAACTACAGCACGGTCACATGACTTCACGTCACCACCGCTAAGCTAAAGGTGGCTAATGTTGAGCTATAAAGGAACTACAGCACAGTCACATGACTTCACGTCACCACCGCTAAGCTAAAGGTGGCTAATGTTGGGCTATAAAGGAACTACAGCACGGTCACATGACTTCACGTCACCACCACTAAGCTAAAGGAGGCTAATGTTGGGCTATAAAGGAACTACAGCACGGTCACATGACTTCACGTCACCACCGCTAAGCTAAAGGTGGCTAATGTTGTGCTATAAAGGAACTACAGCACGGTCACATGACTTCACGTCACCACCGCTAAGCTAAAGGTGGCTAATGTTGAGCTATAAAGGAACTACAGCACAGTCACATGACTTCACGTCACCACCGCTAAGCTAAAGGTGGCTAATGTTGGGCTATAAAGGAACTACAGCACGGTCACATGACTTCACGTCACCACCGCTAAGCTAAAGGAGGCTAATGTTGGGCTATAAAGGAACTACAGCACGGTCACATGACTTCACGTCACCACCGCTAAGCTAAAGGTGGCTAATGTTGGCCGTGATGATGTTTAGTCATCTAATTTAGACAAAAGTTAGCAACCAACGTATTCAAATTCACCAGTGAGGTATTTACTGACGTATATTTATAACATAGAGCACAAATCTCTTCAACTTGTGTAACCCACAGACCTTATTTCAGGCTAACAACCAAAAACACATTCGGAAAACCATTGATTTCCAGACCTTGGGACAGGAAGTGATAAAATACACATATCCGGGTTTTCTGACTCATTCCTGCACCAATTGCTACGCCATGGTAGCCATGTGTTCTGTATTGGAGGGGGTTGAAATCTATTTGTCCGCTTCTAAGAATCCAACGTTTCCCATCACATGTGGCACTTTTTACTCCTAATGAGTCATAGACCATTGATTTTCAGACAGGGAATGCTGACTCATGTTTAGGGTTGTATGACTGATTTCTGCACCACTCTACACCCATCAGAAGCATTATTTATAATGTCTGAGAAATCCGTCCTGTCAGGTTTGGCTCTAATGTATTTAAATGACTGTGTTCATTTAGAAAAACTGTTTGTGTTGAATCCTGTGCTGCACTTCAGATTGATCGCTCTCTCTCTCTTGTGTTCAATAATTGATTCAACTTTTTAAAATGAAGCCGTTCATCTAAAAGATATAAGCGGCAGACTTCCCTCTGATCTGTGCCTGCATTTTTAAGCAGTAGGTGATTGAAGGCCAGTTTAAAAACATTGACAATGCTTTGAAAAACAAGGATATGGATTTTCAGACCTTGAGAAGTCGAGTAATGTAAAATAACACTGAGTTGACCTAGTGACTTGTTTATATGAAGAGTTCACTGCAGAGTGACAGGGTCAGGGTGAGAGTCTGAATGGATGAATACTTTAATAAGTAATATATGTGTTCTCCTTCAGATGCAAAGAATAACAGAAACAAACCACTCCATTGAAACATCTGAAACACCACACAAGGCGTTGTTTCTCTGAAGGTGTATTCAGAGAGAGATGGAGGGAAGCTGGTGTTCCCGCCACACTTCCATGCTCTCTCTATGGCAACCTTTGATCAGCAGTTCGGCAGCAGAGATGGAGGGGAGATGGCCCTAATTGAGGGTCCTTTGTAGCCCTATAAAAGTAGAAGACAGCCGCATTTGAAGTCATGCAGTGGCATATTGATTTTCCCCGGGTCAATCCCACCACTTGTTTGTCAGACACACACAGACGGGAACACTCAGCGCTCAGATGATTGTGTGAGAAGCATCAGGCGAGGAGAAAAGAGTGAATTGTAAAGAAAATATTTACTGTTAGTGGGTCGGGGGGGGGGGGGGGGGGGGTGTCCTTTCAATGTGGTGTTAATGGTTGGTTGTTGCCACGTTTACACAAAGAAAATCTAAATATTTTGTAGGTGAAATTGGTACGAGGTCAGACCTATCCTTTATTACAAGCCTTTCCAAAATTGACATTAATAGTCAAATTGTTGTAACACACGAAACGTATTCTTGTAATGGCCTCATGTTCATTATAATAATCTGTAAAATGCTTTTCGGAGGAAACGATTAGGCATCTTGTGTCCCACGGATAAAAAGGTCTTCCTTCCTCTTTTGTTTGTCTTGTTTTGCTAAATGTGATTCAATCTGAAAGTTAGCAGCACCGTCGTCTTTAGTTGAGGCATTAAAAACATTGGTTAAAGCTTTTATACTTTTATTTTATTGTGCATTTCACGACAAGACAATACAAGATACTGTAATGATTGTTCTAGATGTTAGTTTATGAAGCCGAGCCGCAGAGCTTTTACGTCAGGAACTAATAGCTCTGGATGATGAGGTTGTTCTTCATGAGCGCAGTAATTACATTATGAAGCATTTCATTACAGCGCTGCAGACAAGGCTCTTATTTTGAAATGATTAGGTTGTGACACCACTTTCATTCTGAATTGTTTTAAGACCAGAAGATGAATCCAGTTTACCTAATGGTTCCAGTGATGATGGACGCCACGGAGAGAATGTAATAACAAGTTGTCAGAACAAAATATAAGGTCATCTTTTATTGTGTTTCATAACAACCCATCGGTTTGTTTACTGAGCTAGTGTTTACTTCCTGTCCCTCTTCTTCTGCTGTTCCCTTTAGAGTTTATTTCCTGTCCCTCTTCTTCTGCTGTTCCCTTTAGTGTTTACTTCCTGTCCCTCTTCTTCTGCTGTTCCCTTTAGAGTTTACTTCCTGTCCCTCTTCTTCTGCTGTTCCCTTTAGAGTTTACTTCCTGTCCCTCTTCTTCTGCTGTTCCCTTTAGAGTTTACTTCCTGTCCCTCTTATTCTGCTGTTCCCTTTAGTGTTTACTTCCTGTCCCTCTTCTTCTGCTGTTCCCTTTAGTGTTTACTTCCTGTCCCTCTTCTTCTGCTGTTCCCTTTAGAGTTTACTTCCTGTCCCTCTTCTGCTGCTGTTCCCTTTAGTGTTTACCTCCTGTCTGTTTACTTCCTGTATGTCTTCTTCTGCTGTTCCCTTTAGTGGTTACTTCCTGTCTGTCTTTGTCTGCCGTTCCCTTTAGTGTTTACTTCCTGTCTGTTTACTTCCTGTCTGTCTTCTTCTTTCGTTCCCGTTAGTGTTTACTTCCTGTCTGTCTTCTTCTGCTGTTCCCTTTAGTGTTTTCTTCCTGTCTGTTTACTTCCTGTCTGTCTTCTTCTGCTATTCTCTTTAGTGTTTACTTCCTGTCCGTCTTCTGCTGATGTTCCCTTTAGTGTTTACTTCCTGTCTGTTTACTTCCTGTCTGTCTTCTTCTGCTATTCCCTTTAGTGTTTACTTCCTGTCTGCCTTCTGCTATTCCCTTTAGTGTTTACTTCCTGTCTGTCTTCTTCTGCTGTTCCCTTTAGAGTTTACATCATGTCTGTCTTCTTCTGCTGTTCCCTTTAGTGTTTACTTCCTGTCTGCCTTCTGCTGTTCCCTTTAGTGTTTACTTCCTGCCTGTTTACTTCCTGTCTGTCTTCTTCTGCTGTTCCCTTTAGTGTTTACTTCCTGTCTGTCTTTGTCTGCTGTTCCCTTTAGTGTTTACTTTCTGTCTGTCTTCTTCATTCGTTCCCTTTAGTGTTTACTTCCTGTCTGTCTTCTTCTGCCGTTCCCTTTAGTGTTTACTTCCTGTCTGTCTTCTTCATTCGTTCCCTTTAGTGTTTACTTCCTGTCTGTTTACTTCCTGTCTGTCTTCTTCTTTCGTTCCCTTTAGTGTTTACTTCCTGTCTGTCTTCTTCTGCCGTTCCCTTTAGTGTTTACTTCCTGTTAACTTTCCGCATTTAAGTTTTAATTTAATATCCTCATTTATTGTACCCTTAGCTAGTTCAAAGTCTGTCGATCAGAACAGTTGTCCGTCCAGCGGAGCTTCGTTCTGCAGTAAACTGAATTACACCGTGTGTCAGAGCTCTAACGCTGATGAGTAACATGTTTATTAATGTTGTCTGCTTTTATCCACTTCTCTTCAGAATGAAGTGTCTGTGCTGAGCGACCGACTCGTTATCCCAGAGCAGCTTTGCATACTTAATTAGGAAAACAGTAAATGAGTTCTCGCGACTAAGGGACTAATTGATACCGAGGTTAATCACAAAACTGTTTCCGCCAATCGACTGAAAGAGAAACGCTTTAATTCCCACAGACAGATCTGCCTGGCCCTGAAATTAATTTTCAATTTCATGTTTTTTTTGTATTACCCCCCTCTCTCCCGTGCAAGTACAAAGTCTGTAGCGACATTTGTTTATCTCTAATGTATTTCAATGACTTTGTATTAAGTGTGCACTCAGAAAAACTGTTTGTGTTGAATCCTGTGCTGCACTTCAGAGTGATCGCTCTCTCTCTCTCTTGTGTTCAATAATTGATCCAACTTTTTTAAATGAAGCCGTTCATCTAAAAGATATAAGCAGCAGACTTCCCTCTGATCTGTGCCTGCATTTTTAAGCAGTAGGTGGTTGAAGGCCAGTTTAAAAACACTGCAAATGCTTTGAAAAATAAGGATATGGATTTTCAGACCTTGAGAAGTCGAGTAATGTTCGGAGAAAATGTAAAATAACACTGAGTTGACCTAGTGACTTGTTTCTATGAAGAGTTCACTGCAGAGTGTCAGGGTGAGAGTCTGAATGGATGAATACTTTAATTGTTGTATTGAGAAGAACATATATTCTAAGCTTGTTTCTCCGTACGGACTTATTAAGCATCGATCAAAGTCAGATCTGTCAGATTACCGTGAGGCCAGGTACCGTGAGCAAACAACCCCACATTTAGCGATACCTTAAGTCTGAAAACAGAGATCTTACCTCAGCGTCAAGAGGACATCACGTATTATTTTCTTGATAATTCAACATTGTGCACATCTGTGGTAAATAGCACATATACTTGATTTCAGGTTGATGTTAATGTCGAATTCGTCTACTTCAACATGTCTCCATGCTTTAATGTTCAAAAAGCTCTTTTCACCCTCTGTCTGAAACCAGAGCCCAGTCTGCTCTGATTGGTTAGCTGGCCGGCTCTGTTGTGATTGGTCAACCAGCTTAGAGATGTCCCGCCTCTTTAGCATATCACACACAATGTGTTGGAGCGCTAGCCAATAGGAGCGAGAGTGTTACAAAGTGATGTCCTGCCCATTAGCCTATGAGAGAAAAGACAGTATGGCTTTCGTCATGTTATAGAAAATACACTCTAATAACTTCTTGCTCCCTCTCCAGCTGGAGTACACGGCCCGGCTGGACTTCCTGTGGCGCGTTCAGGCCAAAGAGGAGATCAACGAGATGAAGGAGCTGCGAGAACACAACGAGAACATGCTGAGGAACATCCTGCCGAGCCACGTGGCCCGACACTTCCTGGAGAAGGACCGGGACAACGAGGTCTGCACTTACAAGTGTGCTTTATTTCCATTATGTGTATTTGTTTGTTCGCCAATTGATCGCTTAGAAATAAGATAAGAGTTACGTTATTGATCCCAAATTGGGAAATGTTTGCGTTGCAGCATCAACACAACAAAATCCATAAAAAAATATCATCTGTGGAAGCCGTGGCGCTGTAAAAAGCACGACCAATCATCTGAGCCGGCTAAAGTAACTGGATGGCCTACCTGCCTGTCAGCCTTCCATCTGGGCACAAACTTATCTCGTGCCCTCATTGGTCATGTGCGCGTTCGTGTGTGTTGGAGGAGGGGCTCTGGAAGGAAGTGGCAGATTTCTTCCGGCTGTGTATTTTCAAATTCTCGCGCACTCGAGCTGGTTTCTCCAATCTTACCTACCCCATCTTTAAGTAACGTCTTAATTTACTCAATTTACCCATCAACTCTAGGTAATACTGAATAGCTTAGGGTTAACCATAGGTTGGATTCATACATCCAATCATCACTTTAATACTGATGGAAATGATGGACAGAATTAGCTAAATAAGCCAGGACCTCAGCTGCTTTCTGTATTTAAATCACCATGAATGTTTTCAGTCTTTCAGTAAATACAACTAAATGCAATGGAGATTCTAAAGCTCAATATTTAACTTAACAATTCACACAAGGTCACGTTTTCACCTCGTCTTTTTTTACCGGGGTGCGACTGTGGCTGCGAGGGAATGCGGTCGTCTTTCAACCAGAAGGTTGTGGGTTCGATCCCAGCCCATGCAGTCAACATGTCGATGTATCCTTGGGCAAGATACTTAACCCTGAGTTGCTCCCGATGGCCAACGGTGTGTGAATGTTAGGTCCTAGAGTGAGGTACACTGCTCTGTGTGAATGTTAGGTCCTAGAGTAAGGTACACTGCTCTGTGTGAATGTTAGGTCCTAGAGTCAGGTACACTGCTCTGTGTGAATGTTAGGTCCTAGAGTAAGGTACACTGCTCTGTGTGAATGTTAGGTCCTAGAGTTAGGTACACTGCTCTGTGTGAATGTTAGGTCCTAGAGTTAGGTACACTGCTCTGTGTGAATGTTAGGTCCTAGAGTAAGGTACACTGCTCTGTGTGAATGTTAGGTCCTAGAGTGAGGTACACTGCTCTGTGTGAATGTTAGGTCCTAGAGTAAGGTACACTGCTCTGTGTGAATGTTAGGTCCTAGAGTGAGGTACACTGCTCTGTGTGAATGTTAGGTCCTAGAGTAACATACACTGCTCTGTGTGAATGTTAGGTCCTAGAGTAACATACACTGCTCTGTGTGAATGTTAGGTCCTAGAGTAACATACACTGCTCTGTGTGAATGTTAGGTCCTAGAGTAACATACACTGCTCTGTGTGAATGTTAGGTCCTAGAGTAAGGTACACTGCTCTGTGTGAATGTTAGGTCCTAGAGTCAGGTACACTGCTCTGTGTGAATGTTAGGTCCTAGAGTGAGGTACACTGCTCTGTGTGAATGTTAGGTCCTAGAGTGAGGTACACTGCTCTGTGTGAATGTTAGGTCCTAGAGTCAGGTACACTGCTCTGTGTGAATGTTAGGTCCTAGAGTCAGGTACACTGCTCTGTGTGAATGGGTGAACGACATGTAGTATGTAAAGCGCTTTGAGGGGTCTTAAAGACTGGATAAAGCGCTATGTAAGTACAGTCCATTCACCGCTGACCTGCTCCGAAATCAGTCCCCTGCAATCCGTTCGCTGAGAAAAGAAAAGTAATTGCTTTTACTAACTTTTACAGAGACAGGGAATCGGGGGGTATTTTTGTCTGCATGCATTTGATTGGATTTTAATAACACGTTGTCAGAGAACACATTGATTTGTCGCTCGTCGCAGGAGTGACTCAGCTGACCTCCCTCCGCACTCAAACTTTTCTTCATCTCTCTTTTCGTTCGCCTTATCTCTGCTGCCATTTTCCTTTTGTGCTTTTAAATTCCCTCTGAATAGAGCTGTCTGCGCTCATTCAGTTATTTAATGGGCACACACATTACACACTCATCAGACGGGCCTTCTGGTGCGTTTCAACCCATTTACTAAATGACTTTTATGATTGTTTTACGTACTTTAGATCCTCAAATGCGTTTATATTGAATCATTTTGATTAATAAGACATGCACTACATAGCTCAACCCTTTAAAGCCCCTTTAATTCATTGTTGCATGTCAATATATGTAATGTGAAGCGTTTAGAGCATCTGGAAAAGCGCTAAAATAAATCGAATGAATTATTATTATACAATGATTTGCTATCGTGAGCGATAACGTTGGTAGCTAGCTAGCTTGCTAACAGTAGCGATCGTCACCTCCTGGGATTTAAGAACCTACTAACCAGTCCGAATGCACACACTGCTTTAAAGTATCGTGTTTACAGTGTACGTCATGGCGGTGGGTTACAGGAAATAGAGACTCACTAGACCGCCACATAGTGAAGTGTGATTTCTCCCTGCAGACATCCCTTCTCCACCAGTGCCTTTAGCTTAATGCAGTGGTTCCCAAACTTTTTCAGTCGGGCCCCCCTTGGGTAATTGGAAATATTTTCGGGACCCCCCCCCCAACCTGGTTCCCATCTATATTGGTAGGATTTATCGTATATTGTTGTAAAAACATTACATTCTCTCTACTAATAATAATAAGATACAAAGATCCAACTATCATTTTATATTTTATTATGGATTACACATGAACAAAAGTGCTTGTAATATATACTGTGAATTAATTTAGCCTAATTAAAACTAGCAGGCCTTCTTCCCTGAGTAGTAGATTTTTAAATTCAAACTTCTTTAAGGAAAATATATGAATGAACTACTATTTCTACTGCAGGTTGCAAACGATCACATCACTTGACCATTCCTATTCCTCACATAGCTCATCAATGACTTGTGTGTGCTTGCTTTCCCTCGCAGATCTCCTCAAAGCGGGGCTGTTGTTTTGAGACACTCTCAGTTCATTCTCAATGTTCAGCTTTGATCTGTATCTCGTTTTGATGGCAGCAAGAAAAGCCGATCTCACACAAGTAGTGTTGCAAAAGGCAGCATTAGCCCACAGCTCTCTGACCAATGAGATATTTTCGAGCAGTGTTTGTTTACAATTGAATAATATTAATAATAATAATAATAATATTAATACAACTTTAAAAACAACGTCATCTCAAGGTGCTTCACAAAGCTAAAAGGAGAAAATAATAAAACAAAAAAATCTTCCCGCGCCCCCCCCGCAGTACCTCCGCGACCCACCAGGGGTTTGAAAACCACTGGCTTAATGTCATACTGCCCAGAGAGGGCAAAAGTACACACATCCTTTACTCAGGTAGAAGTACAGATACTCGTGTTTAAAAATACTCTGGTAAAAGTAGAAGTACTGACTAAACTTCTTTACCCAAGTAAAAGTAAAGAGGCTTTGAAATGTACTGAAGTAAAAAGTAATGCTTTCTTCTCCTGGATAATGGCTGATGGTGTCATGGAGGAAGGTTATAACACGCTCCGTATTGTCCTCGTCGCGCTCCGTCATTATCGACTCCTCCGATCTTCCGTTGCCTCTCAAACAAAAGGCGAGCCTCCGATGAATTATGGATGTCAGGAGAGCAGATAAAAAGAGGACGTGATTAAAAATGCATCCATTGAGATTAAGGTTGGGTCCTGATCACTTGTTGCATTATTGATCAGGAGGTTTGGATACTGGAAACGGATAAGGACCTGTGGAAATACTCAGGTGACAGAAAGCTTGGGTGGTTTTTATAGCAACGTTTTTAGTTGTGTGGATATTTGTATTCAGACAATACTGCAGGTGTTTTGAGACTCTGTCAAACGCACCAATCCTAATATCTGTTATTCCTGTGTTGAATGATGCGTTGATTCAACTGTGATATATTGATTCAATTCAGTTATCTTTCATTCATTCTCTAATGAAGGTCGTACCTGTAAGTATAAGAAGTCCTGATAGACAACCTTTGCCAATTCGTCTTATTAGTTCACGACCGTTTGATACTTGTTCCTCCTTGATTCTCCAAATGTAATAAACCTCTGTTTTGACCGTATTAAGGTCATAGTATAAAGTATAATAAGAAATATTGGAAAGTGTTATAAACTGGAAGATATAAGAAGCGGGAAAAATAAAAGTCCTGATAAGACGCGTTTTGCCAATTAGTCTGGAGTCTTTCTTTTAATTGATTAGATTCAACTGTATTGTCATTGCACGGAGTACAAGTACTTAAGACAACGAAATGTAGTTTGCATCCAACCAGAAGTGCAAGAGTTGTTCAAGTATAATATATATACATGTGACAGATATAAACTGAATGTATTTAAAGTATGACGAACCAACAAGTAGCACAAGGGAAAGCTTGACTAAAACACAAGGAGAGAAGACATTTCACAATCAAACCAGAAACTATACCCACACAAAACTAAAATCATGACAATTTTGAATTCACAACTGATGTGGATTATATGCTATAACCTTTCCAGTCACCTGTGGACGCCTACCCTCAAATAATGAAGTGTATTGAAGTCGTTTCAGAGACACAGTAACACACTTTTAGTTTGACTCATGTGCCGCCCATCTGTCGTGCAGGATGACTCCCTCTGAACTCTGAACTCTGAAGAGCCGCGGTGAAGGACAGAGGACTGAAATGAGCTCAGCTGAAGCTCTGACATTTGACTGAGCTCATTAAGCGTGCATAATGTCAGTCAAGATGTCAAAATAAAGTGCAATTAAAATAAAAAGTCAGGCAGAATACAGAGTGAGAAGAATCTGATCTTTAATTATGTATGTGAGATGTTGAACTATGGCTGGACATTTTGTTTACCGGTCTATTATTAAAATATGCTCCTCGTGACGGGATGAATACATTACCTTGTGCTCATTGTGTGTCAACACTGCCCCCTGCTGCTGGAGGCAGTGTACTGCAGCATCACCTGAATCAGTATCATAGCATTCAAACCTTGGTTTTTTACTACTGTGTATTAGTACAAATCATATTAAAGTCGGGGGATGGTTGGGTAGCATTCTGAGAAAAGTTGTGGATTATGGGAAAAAAAACTGATTGCTAAATGGGATCTTCCTAATATCACAACAGGAGGTGCAACAGTCTGGAACATGGAGATATAGCTTGGTTTGTACTTGTATCTCTAAAGTCTGGATGCTTTCTCAAAATGTTGGTTCTGTGCTGAAATCATGCCTATTTCATTTTGGCCACATTCAAATAATTCTCCGACAAAGTCATCCCCTGCAGGCCTGATACACCGTGACCATTAGAACATAAAACACACTTCATTCTCAGAGAACCTCCGATTTGTTCCCCCTCAATGTTCACATGATAGGATTCAACACCATATACTACACACTTTGCAATGGAGGTGTTTCCTTTGCAGACCATTTGCATGCACTCAAACCTATACAACGCACTACAGGAAAGGGACAGCCTCAAAATAGTAAGAAGTATAATCAAATGTATAATAGGGCCTCTTTAAGAAAAGCTACGAATGACTGAAACATGTTTTCTCTCCTCCTAACAAAGTGACATGTCCCATGTGTAAGCGTCATACCTTTCTTTGAGCATTAGGAAAAGCGCTTTAAATCCCATGTATTGTGGTGTGTCTTTACAGGAGCTGTACTCGCAGTCGTACGACTCGGTGGGCGTGATGTTCGCCTCCATCCCGGGCTTCGCAGACTTCTACTCTCAGACGGAGATGAACAACCAGGGAGTCGAGTGCCTCCGGCTCCTCAACGAAATCATCGCCGACTTCGACGAGGTGAGACTTTGAAGTGTTCGCCCAACATGCAGGGGAGCAGCGTCTATAAGTAAGACATCTCTGATGAAAGCATGCAGCTTATTGCCCAGGACACTTCAGAACTGATTAATGCCAACGTGTCAGGGGAGCTGAGAAAGTGTTTATCTCAGATAGAAAGAAGAGATTGTTTCATGAAGGACAGGACTGAGCTTCCTCTTGGATTGATTTCCCCAAACGAGATACAGACGGATGTGTAAGAGTTTGAATCTTGGCTTTCTGTGATGAGGTTCGACAGTTCAGGATTTCTTCATTACATCACATGTCACTTGTTAGACGCTTTTATCCAAAGCGACTCACATACTCAACACTGAGGTCAATCCCCACAGGAGCACTTTGGGGAGAAGCGTCTCAGGGACACAACGACAAGCTGTGGGGTTTGAACCTGTGACCCCCTGATCCCAACACCAACGCACTAGTCCACTGCGCCACACCAGAAAGATTTCAGGTTTTATAATGATGGAGAAAGAAGTCTAAAGCAAACAAAAATAGGAAATCCTTCCTACTGAGCCACGACAGTGAAACATAAGGAATACATGTCTTTGCAAAAAACACATATTTGTTTGTACGGTTAGAAAAAGAAAAAGCAAAGTCAGTCCTTACATTTAATAATTTACATTTCGTATGTAGGATTTCAGGGTTCACTTCTTTATTCGTCAAACTGCCTTAAAGTCGTTCTTCAGCTCATGAAAAGTGTCTGGATTTCTGAAACTGGAACCAAAAAGGACTTCTTTAAACATACGTTGGTTGCTGAGGTTTCCTGCAGCCGACAGTCTGACGGAGACTCCACTGAGTGTTTGACAGAACGTGTCAAAGTCTCCTAATGAGAGCGAGACAGCAGCTGAGCTCTCTGCATCCGGCGGCCACATCCTCACCTTCTGCTCAAACACAGACAGACGAGTGGCTTGTGATATCAGCAGCGGTGTGATCACATCAGAGTGCAACTAGCAACACATGATAAACGTTTGTTTGACACAGAGATCATTTTCTGCAATAATCCAAAATCACATGGAGAAATCCCGTTGAACCCGCGAGATGCTGACTTTCATCGGACGACAGAAATCCTCCTCTCTAAAGTCAAAGCGTCGTTTGTTCTTCCCTCTGTCTGTTGCTCATTGTGTGAGTCAGTCAGGTAGGCAGGGCGATGCTGAGTTTCCTCCCGAGGCAGTTTCAGTACATGTGACCTTTGCAGCAGAGTCAGTGCTCATTCTGAGAACACAACTGTCCTCTATTCATGCTGCTCTAGGAGGGGAATTGAAAGAGGGCAATATCACATCTGAACATTTGGTGTTTTGGCAGGAATAATGAGCTTGCTTTCATTGGAGTCCTTCAAGTCTGGACTGGAAGCTCTTCAGTCAAACCCCTCCCAGACAGAGGTTTTTAGAGCATAAACAGTCAAGTTGTGTTAATAGCAGTCAAAGATCATAACAAGAAGCCTCAATGGAGCCTTTTGGGGATGCGTCTTAAACCTTCTTATCATATCCAACAGGGGGCGATGCCTCTTTTTGGAAAGTCTCATTGTATAGAAGTCTATGAGAAAATCACTCTACTTCATTTTCCTGTTGCGTTTATGGTCTCAATCTCTTGTTTCAAGTCCTATTCAATACAGCATGATGTTCATTTAGTAAATGACGGTCCCATTTCGAGTAAAATAGACGATGAAGCAGGGAATGCTTTAGTGTTGGGCTACCTTGTGATTGGCAGGTGTTTACCACACGGTATTGACTAGTTTGGATGTTGTTGATGTTTTCGTCTTCAAAGTGTTTCCAGATCGTGAAGCTTAATATAATAATTTTGGTAACATTTGGTTGCACATGGATTATTGTCCTTTAGGTTGTCATTAGGGTCAGAATAATAAACGTCTCTCTCTGTGTCACAGCTGCTTGGTGAGGATCGCTTCCAGGACATCGAGAAGATCAAGACGATCGGCAGCACCTACATGGCCGTCTCCGGCCTGTCGCCTGAGAAACAGGTGAGATCCTCCAGCTTCCACCTGAACTCACAATATATCAGTTTAACCCGGCATGCTGTTTCAGAATCTGGAGATCCGGTGCTTCTCTGGGTTGGTGGTTATCTTGATCATGATCTTGATGGTTAGCTGCAAACCTCCTCAAACTCGGCTCACAACATGTCCTAAACACTCATTGCTAAATGTGCAAATACAACTGGTGTTCTGTTTTCAACATATTGAAGCCCGATTGACATAAACTCACTGTAGCTGGACGTGTTGTACATTATCAGAATATGTTGGGCCATCATAAACTAAAAGTCTACATTATATCACTCATTTGATCTAAAGTTGTTGCTATATTTACACACATTATTAAGCTAAGCTAATAATGTTCTCTTTTCCGTTCTGATGGAAACAGCGGAGAAGAAAGTACACAGTTAGACAGTGTAGTGTTTCTGAAAAGCAGATTTCCAAGTCAAGAGAGAGGAGCTGACAGCCAGCAGATTTCCTTTGTTGGCTTCCTGTCAGCTTCATACTTTGTTGAGTGTTTTCTGAAACAAAGAACACCATACTGTACATGCGTGGTAAGGACATTTGAAAAGTGCTGCACAAAGACAAAGTGAACACATAGACAGTTGGCAGAGTGTTCAACAAAATAAACCAACATTTGAAATGGTTAATTGTTTATTTATTGGTTAGTTTTGTTTTATCACAACGCAGCTCTGTAAGAACTTGTTTCAAAGATAAAGTGCATAATGATGAATAAGTGCAATTCAAATCTCAAAGAGTAAGTAGAAATGAATGGCAGCAGTATGAATAGTAGGAGCAGAAGTATAAATAGAAACCTCAGTCAGTAAATGGACCTTTGGGAACCTGACAATGCACCCGAAGTCCTTCGTCCGTCTCCAGAGACACAACAGACCTTTTCTCTGACGTGGACACCCTTTGGTGTCAGACCTCCAGTTCCCTTTGTGACGCTCCTTCTCTTCTCCTGTGACCCACAGCAGTGTGAAGATAAATGGGGTCACCTGTGTGAGCTGGCGGACTTTGCCATCGCCCTCAACGAGAGCATCCAGGAGATCAACAAACACTCCTTCAACAACTTCGAGCTGAGGATCGGTGAGAGCGGTTTTTACTGCTTCCTTTCAAACGATTTACTATAGATTTCTTTGTAAAATGCTGAAAATGCAGATAAATATCTCTATCGGCATTTTAAAGCCTTGTCTTTCATTTCTTTTAAATCCCATATTGAAGGGTGTAGGATGTCTCTGACACCATTACAGTGTCTCTTAACTGATCCATGCATCAGGTTTTTTGTTGCTAGGAATTCATCTTCACGTCTCTAGAATGTCTCTACATAATACAAATAAAAAATCCTGGAATTAAGATGATCTTATTTTATCTAACAAATAATAGATATTTAGTTCATAGTGATTTAAAAACTGAAGCAAAATCATCAAAACGTATCTTGATGCCAGCAAGGGCAACCTGAGTCTCCTGGTTGCAAATAGATGTCAGATTGCATAGAAGTCTATGAAAAAATGGCCCTGCTTTCCTTATTTATTACCAAAACATTCTCAAACAACTTGGTTGGATTTAGGTGAAGATTCTGGTTTGGATTACTGAAAATAGTGTCGACAATGATTGAAGTTAGAGCTACTGTCTGTATAGAAGTCTATGAAAGAATTACCATATGTCTTGCTTCATTTATGACCTCGTTAAACATTTTCCTAACGAGTTTATGGTCTCAATCAGTAGCTTCAAGTCTGATGTATGACTATTAACAAGATGTAATATGCTTTTTAGTCAAACATATCCTCATAGAAAGGTGTATAGGACATGTTACAAGTTTATATAAAATATATAGTTATCTCCTACATTTATGCTTTCTCAATAAATGCACAATGTCTCTTTTACGGAACATTCCACATAGACAACCTGGTTAGATCTAGGAAAAGATAGTATCTTGAAATACTAAAAACGAATAATGAATTCGTAGGAGTTTGACTAAAGTTGCTGGGGTGCCAGTCAGGTCAAGCCTAACCATTTTTAGAGTTAAGGTTGAGTCAAACCCCTATAAAGGGTACATGTTACCGACGGGGACACATACAGCACATGCTACTCTTAACCAGTTCAATATTTCTGTATTTTTAACCTAGTAAAGGAATAGATTTGAAGAAAAACACACAACACATCTCATCTACTTTGTGTCTCCGTCAGGTATGGCCCACGGCTCGGTGGTGGCCGGTGTGATCGGAGCCAAGAAGCCTCAGTACGATATCTGGGGGAAGACGGTGAACCTTTCGAGTCGGATGGACAGCACGGGCGTCAGCGGGAAGATCCAGGTCCCCGAGGACACCTTCCTGATCCTGAAGGAGCGCGGATTCGCCTTCGAGTACCGCGGCGAGATCTACGTGAAGGGCATCAGCGAGCAGGAGGGAAAGATCCGGACGCACTTCCTGTCGGGCCGCGTTCAACCAAATCCGCTCATCATGCAGCCGCGAAAAATCACCGGCCAGTATTCGCTGGCGGCCGTGGTGCTCGGTCTGGTGCAGTCGCTCAACAGGCAAAAGCAGAAGCAGATCCTCAACGAGAACAACAACTCGGGCATCATGAAGGGCCACCACCACTACAACCGGAGGACGTTGTTAGCGCCCGGTACCTCCGAGTCGGGAGGCGGGCATCACACGGAGCCAGCTGATAAGACTGAGCTGTCCTGAAGAGCACATCACAGGGTTTCAGTTTCCACAAAGAAGAGTCCTCAGAGGCAGAGAGGCTCCCCAGGCAGAAACCGTCCCAGAGGTTGAGTTAAACTTCAGCGAGTGCAGCTTTCTAGCTTAGTGACGAAAGAAAAGCAGCTGGAAGTTCTTTAGGAGTCATCAAAGCTTCAGTTGTTTGAAAGCTAGAGGTGGGACCATGTCATTGTTTTGGAAGTGTCAATTATTTGCAAGTCATAAGTCTTAAGTCTTAATTTCGAGAATAAAGAACCGTCCCAGGGGTTGAGTTAAACTTTAGTGAGTGCAGCTTTCTGACTTAGCGAAGGAAAAGCAGCCGGAAGTTCTTTAGGAGTCATTGCAACTTCAGTAAACAGGTGTTGAAAGCAAGTCATTGTTTTGGAAGTCTCATGTATTTGCAATCAAGTCCGGAGTCTTAATTTCGAGAATAAAGAAGTCACTGTTGGCTCCATTTATGTCCATTGTTGGAAAGTCATATCCATTGATTTAGAAATATCGTGCAATATTATTTTGGACACTAGATGGCGGTCATTAGATGTTCAGGGCTGTATGATGGATTTTAGTATCCCAATGTTCTCCTCTTTATTCTCACAATGAACACACAGGTCGGTGGTAGTAGTGATTGTACACAGACAGACCTACAGACATGCTGAGATACAGAAAAAAACTTCATCTCACAGCTTGTAGAAACCACAAACCTTATTTCAGGCTTCAAACATGTTCAAAACCGTTAACTTTGAGACGAGGCATCTGGAAAATGGTCAAATGCTGACTCATTTCAGGGTTTTATGACTTTAACCATCAGTGAACCAAACTAGCCCCAACACCAAACTAGAACAGATCCATTTTAGTGGAAATGGGGTAACTTTGTGAGGTTAATTAGCAGTTTAGCTTAGCTTAGCTTACACATTGATATATGACCAATCATGCTGCTTTAACAATGTCAATGAAGTCTCTTACATATTCCCTCCAAAGTGTTTTCGTTGTACTGAATTCGTCTGATCTTCTAGTTTCTTAGGATATCAGGTTTTCAACTGTATCTTAAAAATTAACCTCTCAGAAAAAAGCCAAACTTTAAAACAGTTTTTAAGAAAACTCTGAAACGTCTTTTAGAGAACTTCCCGATATCGAGACACAAGTGGTATCAATGGATTAGATTGGACTTGTAGTTTTCATATGATGTCAGAATGTTCACTCTAACTAAAGGGCTTTAACTCAACCAATCAGATGGTTTCTGCCTCCTGCAGCTGCTCTGCTTCTGACCGATGTGTGTGGAGCTGAGGCTCCACTTTGTCCTTGAAAGAGGAAGAAGAGGAGGAGGAAGAGGATCTGTTTCCTCCTCCCTCATTTGTTGGAACGATCCCCTCGGACTATTGGACGTTCCTCCTGTCGTTTCCACTTCCTGTTTTTATGTCGCCCCCCGCCCAAAACCCCAAACCCCCGTCCCGCTGACCCTCGCCCGGTGTCGATGTTTCTTTTTTGTATTTCTTTTATATATGAGAACACAATTAAAGGGGTCTAATTTTTATACAAGCCATGTGTCTGGTTGCCTTTATTCTATATTAAGCTTCTGTTTTTAAGAAGCATCGAGACGTCCACTTCGGTCATTTCATTTCTGAACAACAGCAAATTCATGTTTACGGTATTATTGATGCTCTTTTAGCATTTCTCTGTCATGCAGTATATTCTAGGATCAAGATTATATTTGCACACGGCATCTTCTACAGGATTTCTGATGATAAGAAACTTAGCTCATTTTAAAACAATGTTACCGTAGCCTTAACACTTTTGCACCACAAATTAACAAAATGAACTAAAATACAATTGGACACATTTGAATAAAATACACAAAGACAAAATAGGTCATATAGTTATCTGATTGAAATAAACAAAAACAAACCATCAGATTATATAACTTTTAATAAAGCTGATAAACGTTCTGCTATTGATTTGAACTTTAAAGAATAAATGGTGCTTTCAATCTCATCTAATTTGCACATTTCCGGCTGCACACATAACCTTGTGTTTCCACATCAGAGAAAGAAATTGGCCTTCGTCTTGAAAAGGTCTTGAGGAATCCTATCAGGATAGTTTGAAGGAGAGGAGATGATCCTGACGCCTGCTGGAGGACGCCGAACATCTGCACTGACACTGTATTTATCAGTCAACGATGGAGTTTGGAATATAAATGAGTTACCTGACTCTTATCTGCCATGATGTTTTCAAATGTTACACCACTGAGCAGACACTTAACGCCTGTAATGCAGATGAACTTTATTCATTTTCCACATTGAAATACACGTCCTAAACGCACTTTTACAACAAAAAGATCTAATATTTGAACTTTAAAATGTGCTAATTTACACAAAAGGAGAAATGAATCTGTAAATGTCATGCAGTCAGGGACGAATACGTTATTCAAAGCCCAAATACAGATGTTTTTAAACGCGTTTTAAGATAAGATAAGATAGGACTGTATTTATCCCGAAGGAAATTGTAGAATGGTGCAAAAAAGCGTAGTGGCAGATATGTGATTGCATGTTATTATGGAACGTTATTATTAATATTGCACATGTAATGTTTAATAGACTTCCACTCTTACTTGTTTTCATAAAATCACATTTATTTGACTTTTTAAATAGTTTATTATGGTCATGCAGTTCCCTGCCTTGGCCACTAGGTGGCAGGAGGAGCTCAGTCACTCAGCTGCAGTCACACTGAGCAGAGCTTCTAGAAACAGATGATATTATGGGATGTTCTCTCATGTTTACTGAACAGAAAAACAGTCCCTGAGAACTTCACTAGAAAATATGTTGTGATAAAAAAGAAACAGGACTGTAGTATTCAGCTGTACTGGCCGAGTCAGTGTGTGCATGTACGCTACATGTAAATAACTTTGTATTAGTCACAGAAATAGTTATGAAATCAAAGCTAAATAGGGAATACATTAACATTGACACTATGCACAGATATTGCTATTAAAATGTGTATATATATATAGGCTATACATACTTTAAATACCATATTTACAGACAGAAGGGAAATAGTGCAGAGTGCAAAGAGTGCTGGAATAAATGGAATATTAGTATCACAGGAATTGTTATGAAGTAGGTGGATTTGGCAGGTGACACGAGCAGTTCCTCTCACAAACATGTAAGGCAACATAGTGATATTTACCATAAGTCAATTCAAACCCTTGTGATATTTTGCAGGTGTCTTTTGACCACTAGGGGCTGTCAGAGGTGCTGCTGTCAAACATTTCCCATTGCAAGAGTTAACACTTAAAGGCTTTATTTGAATATGCAAAATACCTACAGTGTAGTTTGCAATGCAAAAGTCTTAAGTCTAAGAGTTCCAACTGTACGGAACCAGTGAAACAGCGCTTACTGGAGTCCTTTATCATTATTATTGTGCCTATTAGCTTGTGTCCGTGCTTATGTGTGTGATGTTGTATCTGTTGCATGTTAATGTGTTAATATAAGGGTGTGTAGTTGGGAATATGTGCTTTAATATGTGATGCAATCATGCTTCAATTATCGCTTCATATTTTCTCTTAATGCCATCAACCTGCCGGGGACTGCAGATGGAAATTAGCCTCTATGGCTATTTATTCTCAAATAAATACAATACTCTTAAGACATATAAGAAGTACGGAGATAAACAAAAGTCAAATAAGACGAAGAGGTCAGGATTAAGTCAACATGTAAAATGGATTAACACAAAACAGAAGGGAATATTTAAATAAATCAGCTGTAAATTATGATGTAAGTCGATGAGAGCTGTCAGGACTCAATCACGCTAAAAAGAAAACCATTAAAATATCTGAATATGAATCTTCAATCTTCATTTTAATCCTGTTTTCTTCCAACACGCCGCACAGGAAACAGCCTCAGGAATCCACCAACAGTTGACTTCACACACACAGAATTTCTAACCCTTTACACACACTAATAATAATAATAATAATAACACACACATTTAGATTCAGTGCTCTGAATGTCCTCCCACTGTCCCATCTGCCTCGAGACATGATGAATACATCCAACACAACAACCTGTGTGTGTGTGTGTGTGTGTGTGTGTGTGTGTGTGTGTGTGTGTGTGTGTGCGTGCGTGCGTGCGTGCGTGCGTGCGTGCGTGCGTGCGTGCGTGCGTGCGTGCGTGCGTGTGTGTGTGTGTGTGTGTACCAGGAAAAGCATCGCTCCTCTTCCTCATATGGATTTTCTGTTAGACGTGAAAACGAGGAAGAGGAGGAAACAACGGGAGGGATGAGGAGAACGGAGTTGCCATGGCGACCACTGGCTTGTTGGCTGTGTGTGTGTGTGTGTGTGTGTGTGTGAAAACACACACAATGCAACTCATTAAGGGAAAGGTCAGAGAGGTGTTGATGAGGCAAAGTTAAAAACACCTGTGTGTCGTCAAATAAAGAATGTCTCCTCTTATCACACACACACACACACACACACACACACACACACACACACACAAACACAAACACACACAAACACACACAAACACACGCAAGACATGCAAACACACGCTGTTACAGATGCTTGATTAAAAAGTGTTTCAGTATGCCACAAAGACGGTTAAGCAAAAACACAACTCGTGATCTGACACAGATTAAATGTGAACACTTAGCCACTTCTTGTGTTGCAAGAAGAGGATGTTGAATTTGAAATAGATATATTTGAAAAGGTCTCCCTATCAGCCTACCACTGCCTTCTTTCAGCATGACATCACTTTTTAATGATCACGCCTGCATGCAGCACAATTGGCCAAATTGCAAAAATAATCATTAATCTAGATGTCTGGATTTTGAAACGATATAATTAAGAGTGAATCTTAAATGAACGTTGTTGGTGCCACTGATCTTAAACCTCATTTTCCCTTCTTTGTTTGCATATGTGGACTTGAGGTTTTCTAAGGGTTACTTTGAATTAATGTTATAAAATATATGTTTAAGATCCTTTTAAAGTCAGTATTTCGTTTTGTCATGTTGAAGAAACCCCAACAGATCAAACACTTCATCACACAACCCAAACTGAGACCTAGAGAGATGAGTGTGTTGTCTGTTACTCACGCTGGGTGCCCTTTCTGTTTACTCCCCATCCATCCCATAGAGAGGGGGGGGGGTCTTGGTCACTGACACAAACATCCCCGGAGACTGAGCGCCCTACATTCAACCATCAAACCATCACCGTTACATAAAGACCAGCGCCAACACACAAGCCTGCCTGTTGCTAGGAAACAAGCCCCGGAGCCCCATCATCATCGAAAAGAGTCTCGTCGGGACACCTGAAAGACGCACAAATGGGTCAGCGAGGACAAAAGAGAAAAGAAACGTCCATTATGACTCTGAGACAGCACTCAGAAAAATGTAAGAAAAGAGGTTTGTTAGGTTAGTGTCTCTACTTTAAAGAGTCCTCTCCTGCTGATGTTCAGGTGTATATCAGTATGTAGTGTCTCTACTTTAAAGAGTCCTCTCCTGCTGATGCTCAGGTGTATATCAGTATGTAGTGTCTCTACTTTAAAGAGTCCTCTTCTGCTGATGTTCAGGTGTATATCAGTATGTAGTGTCTCTACTTTAAAGAGTCCTCTCCTGCTGATGTTCAGGTGTATATCAGTATGTAGTGTCTCTACTTTAAAGAGTCCTCTCCTGCTGATGTTCAGGTGTATATCAGTATGTAGTGTCTCTACTTTAAAGAGTCCTCTCCTGCTGATGTTCAGGTGTATATCAGTATGTAGTGTCTCTACTTTAAAGAGTCCTCTCTTGCTGATGTTCAGGTGTATATCAGTATGTAGTGTCTCTACTTTAAAGAGTCCTCTCCTGCTGATGTTCAGGTGTATATCAGTATGTAGTGTCTCTACTTTAAAGAGTCCTCTCCTGCTGATGTTCAGGTGTATATCAGTATGTAGTGTCTCTACTTTAAAGAGTCCTCTCTTGCTGATGTTCAGGTGTATATCAGTATGTAGTGTCTCTACTTTAAAGAGTCCTTTCCTGCTCCTGAGATTGGAAAACTTGACAGCTAGCAACAGTAACAAGTTGCACGACTTAGCGAAGAGTTAATTAAAAAAACGTATTTAACTAGTTCAATACAGAAAAACGTAATAAATACTTTTTATGTCTTACCTGTTCGAGTTTAGAATTGCAATTCTAAGAAACCTCATGTATTTCTCTCACTTGCTTCCCCTGCTTATGATTTTGATTTGAGAGCTTTTCTTGAAATCTGGGTTTATTTTTAGAAAAGTCGAGGATTATCTCTGGGTAACGCCGTCATTTCAGTACAGATGGAAAGGTTTCAGAGTTCACGGCCTGCCTCTCAGACTCGGGGCATCTGGAGTTCACATTAATATTCAGCCTCAGTCTGCAAAGTCATTTATTCCATCTATGCGAGGTGGTAAACGGCATTACATCCTGTAAAGGGATGATGCTGCTGCTGGAAGCATTGCTGCAAAGCTCTGAGGCGCAAACTCACACAGCACGGTGATGTCTGATATGCTTTATTATAAGGTGAACAGATTTTCTAAATG